GAGGTCCCTTCCAACTGAAAATCTTCTGTTCTGTCTCAAGACAGACCAGCTTTGAGGCTGCTGTTGGGTGAACACGTCAGTACAGAACACCTTTATTCCAATAAGCACACCGGGACAGCGAGGCATGATAATCATCCCGCCAGAGTCTGCTGTCTCCTTGCTGTACAGCACGCAGGATAGAAGCCAAACCTCCCCAAATCCACAAACACAAGCTGCAGAAAGAGAAAACTCCCAGTCTGCCAGCTCTCATCACCGGCCACAAAAAGCACCGGCCAGTTGTCCTTGCGACGGGGGTGAAACCCCTGACGAGCCTCCAACAGCCGCCGGAGCTGGCTGCGAGCCGTAACCTGGCCACAGACTAAAAACTCAACATCCTGTTTAGCTATTTTTGTCGAGTGTTTTGTTGTTTGGCAAAAATTCAGTAATAAGCAATAATTTTGCCAACGCCACCTGCCTAGAGGAGTGAAAAAAGTTAGTGGGAAAGAAAGGAAGCGCGGACAAACTGCAATGCAGCAACACCCGGAATCAATAGCGGGAAACTCTCCTCCTAACGCAAAATTCAAAATTAAAAAGCAACCAAAAGCTTGTAGTCCTGCTGTAAGACTGAAGCAAGCAGGCGTGAACAGGACGAAAGGACCCACCCCAGCTACGAGATGCAAGAATCTTAATTAAGAGATAATGTTTAGATTACTTGGTATTACCATCCTAAGATAAAAAAGCAGATAAAAAGCACTCCAGGAGCAGGTTTGCAGACATCCGCGCAAGGACGTCACCCTCCAGGATGCCACGCTATTAAATATCAAGGACCAGCACGGCCACCCCCCCAATCCCCCGTGTCAGAAACAGATCCTTGCTTGAAAAATTGCTTTCTCTAGCAGGTTTTTGATGACTCAAAATGTTCAGGGATAACCTCCGCGTCTGCCTGGAGCCTTCCAGATGTGGAATGCCAGTTTGAAAATGGTTTTCATGTGTTCGTTTTCTTCCCATTACTCCTAGACGCGCAACCTCTGGCTATTTCAAGGCTCAGAAAGCTTCATTAGCAGCTCGGTACAAACATCTGAAGAGTTCTTGTCCTCAACACTGCTCCCCTGTGGCAAGAGTCAACGATTTTCTCTTCGATCCCCGCTCGGTTTCCCGATGGCAGAGCTCAGGGTAACACTACTGCATTCGGAGTAAAGAAAAATACTCCCGTGTAGCACAGGACATCATCTCTTCTGGAGGGCTGGGGGAAGCGTTCCAGTTCCCACCCAGTTTATCATTCACCGTCACAATTAACTACTTGTTTTGGGGGAGGTCATTGACGCTTTTCAATTATTCAAAGAGGAGCCCTACATTTTATACCTCTCCTGCCTGCAATTTTTCACAATTCGATAGAATAATTGCAATCATCTCTTCATCCCTTCCCAATCTACCCCATCAATTAACACATTTCCTCAAGTGATTTTAATAATTCAGTCTTAGAGACAAAGTCTAATGTATCAAGTAGAAGCAAGATGCAAAATCCAGACGCAAACTTCACCCAAAACCCAGCTGATTTTTCTTGCCTACACTCTGCCCAACAAACTTCAACCAGGCGAAAAGGCCACCTCCTACTGAACCACTCCTGCCTTCTTTATCACATACATTTTCTGAAAGTCTTCCAGGTCATTGCGATTTATTTTCCCAACTATTCCACAGGCTGCCATTTCTTTTTCCCCCGCTGCCTCCCGGTTTCTTTTGCCCGTTGTCTTCCTGTGCAGTCCAAGCTGCGCTGGCCTGCTGTCCCCCCTCTTGCTGTGCAGCCATCCACACCGCCACCAGCAGTTTTCAAGTTAACTTTAAATGTAACACACGCAAGAAACTGGAATTGCCAAGGCAAAATTTGCTGCAGCATGTGTCTGGAATTGCAGCCAAAGATCCAAGTGGGCAGCGGGTCAGAAAAAAAAAATATACCCTCTATAATGAAATGTCTTCGTATTAGGTTAACCAAAAAAAGTCATTAGAAATAAATGAGTTAAGTAATTCTGCAATACAAGTTAAATAGCAGTCATGAGAGAAAAACTGCATGGCCCAAGCTGACTGAATGAGATAATTATTTTAGCAAAGCCTTTTGCAAAATAAATTGCACAGAAGTTGAGAAACCTTCTGAAATGAACTTGTTTTTTTAAAAAAAAATCATCTTTGCCTCCTTCAAGGAAGTGGAGGAGGCAAAAAAAAGAAGGAAAAAAAAAAAAAAAAAGGAAAAAAGGAGAGATACAGTATTGTGTCCTTAACAGCAGTTTGAGAACCAGAACAAAGCCAGAGAGTGTTTCAAAGCACAGCGGCTCTCCCCACTCTGCTGTTTGTTCTCCTCATAAGCAGACAAGCTGTTCCCTTTCATCTGGAAAAACTCACACAATAAGAAAAATACCTCAATAGAATCTGAGTCTGTAATAACAAAGCCCAAGGGGCAGCCAGAAAGAAATCTTTTGGCCAGTAAAAAATATTTGGTGTTTGGCTCCTCAGAGCGAGCTGACTGCTTCTGGGCGTAGGGCACACGTACATCCTCCGGCTGCCGGAGGAGGTCAGGGGACTCACTGGGGTGTTTCTCCTTCCCATCTCTCTTCCCCACGCCCAGATGAAGGCTGCAACCCTCACAGGTCAGCACAAAAGCGAGCGGAGGAAGCAGGAGCAAGGAGATAATAGGGAGAAGGAAGCACATGAAAGACTGCACACCGGGATGAATGTGTCTGCTACACCCTCGAGGAGAGGGAAGAGTAGGAATTAAAAGCTCGAGCACAAGGTCCAACCTAAACTCTGAATCGCTGCAGTTCAGAAGACCCGGTAAAAATGTCTCTCTGAAATACTGTTTTGATAAATATGCCATCTCCTTGTGGAATTCAAATCTCCAACTGTTCAACTGGCATGGACAGCTCTGCAGTAACAGCACATGCCACAGATTGCGAGTTAACTTGAATTACATTTCAGATCTGGGGAGGGGAGGATGTCAGTGGGAGGTTTATGAACAGTATGCTCTAGCTCTGATGTTGTTATAACCAGATGGCTTCGGCTGTATCATTTGCAATAAAAAACAAACAAAAAAAAAAAAGTGAAGTTGACAAATAAATCATTAATTCACCTGCAACTGGAACAATCTGAACAAGTCGCCCCCCTCGCAGATCCCATTTCAGACCTTCCCTGACAGCGTATTCGGCAACTGCGCCTGGCTCCGCAGGAAGACCAGCCCCAGAACAGATTATTTTCCTGCAGGTATCTCCCCATTCCCCGGGGAAGGAGGCTGCCAAATCTGCATTGCTTTCCTGCAAAAACCTCCCCAAAACAGGCCCGTCTGCTTCCCAGGGCAGGGCTGAGCCAGCGACACTCCTCCAGCAGTTGGTCACTCTAACGTGACAAGGATAAAGGGTCTCGTTCAGGTTTGAGTGTTTCACTAAACAACGCGGTTACTGCAGCGTAATTAGACATCTCTGCGCCACACAGACAACTTCTGCAATTACCTGGCAATGAACTTTTCATGTCTGCATGCAATTATAAGCTAGAAACGCCAGGTTTGAGTTCTGACAGGGTAGTGGGGAGAATCTCGTTATGACTAAATGCTTTGCTTACCTAAAAGGAAACGCACGCTAAATCCAATATAAAAGGAATTAGTGGCGTTCAAGCAATAGATGTAATATGGGAATTTGTGAACCACGTAAAAGGAAGGCTTTACTATACCGACGGCTGTGTGTTTATGATGCCAGCCTCGGTGGGGGAACACAGAAAGGGGCAGGGACCCGCTCATGAGTCACCATTTGATAAAAATAGACAGCAGCTAGATTAAACACATAAGTATGGACGGAATTCTTCTTCACACAAGGGACAAGAGGCTGTGAGAGAAAGTATGATAATAGAATGAAAAATCGGAGACAACAGATACCTCATCTGTTTTCTAGGCAAAACAGAGTTATTCTCTGTAATCCATTACGTGCCCTACCTGCCCATCTTAAGGTCAGATCAATTTGCCACCGCCCTGGCACTGCATATTTCAGTCTAACCTCCCTGGAGATTTGGGGCTAACGACGACATAAACGGATGATGTCTGTCCTACCCAGACATCCTGCGCTGCGCCTTCATGTTATAAAACAGACGGCAGCTTATACTGTTCTCCCTTCCCATATCTAAACAGGTACGGGTGAAAGGAAGGACCGTGGGTCAGCTTCATGCAGCTATTATTAAAAGCAACGCTCTCTAGTATTTTGGTAATACCTGCTACGAGAAATACCACAGGCTTGCACTGCAATTTTGTGTGCAGCATTCCTTAATAAAGCCCCTCGGCGTGCCAGGAACAGCATGTCACTATCAGTACACAGCAGCAGACTGAAACTGAACCCTTTGGAGCGGGTTTTAAACTGGGAAGTCTTGAAAATGAAACAAACCAAAAAAGACAACAGATACCACACAGTACAAAATAGTAATTATTTATATTTTCAAAAAGAAAAAACAAAAGTTACCAGCTATTTTGAAACTTCTTCCCTGTAAGAACAGTGACTAATAGAAAGGAACAGGACTGGCTCCTATACAGTAGGCAAGTCAGGTACAAACAGTTGTTAAGAATCATTTAGCAACTCAGGACAGGGACTTTTGACGCAGCGTTCATGAACAATAAAATTTATCTTTTTTTTTTTTTTTTATAAAAAGGGGGAGGAGGGAAATAAAGCAGGGAAAAATGCCAAAAACATTTCCCACAATATCTAAAAACAGTAACCGTTGTTCTTGTCAGACAGCACGCTCCAGATCAAGGATTTTTCTAGTCCTTTCAAAAGCAATACAGACTTGCCAAAGGCTGCCTTCAGTCTATTCACACCCTCCAGAACACACAGCCTTTCACTGTCCCCTTTCACTTCAGCCTGTCATTTTATAAAAGGGTTTTTTTTCTTTTTTTTTTTTTTGTTTTTTTTCTTTTTTTTTGCAATTAACATACAAGTGCTACTAACAGAGAAACTGATCTTCTTGTTGCTGGATGGCAATACGGAGTTACACAAACGTCCAGTTTTTAGCTCAGCTGGAAAGACTTAAATTCTCTTTTTTTGATATAAATACTACTGGAGCTCCCATCAGGTACTTCCTTTCCAGAACCTCACTGGAAACTCTTTTTAACCCTCCAACACTCTCCAAAGCTAAAATGTCCTCTTGCTCCAGGCATCTGACGATTTGTTCTGTGCTGCCAGACGCAGAGACGTTGTTTTCCCCAGTACCACTGCTGGGTTATTCCGACTTGGGTCAGTGCCTAAACCAAACCCTGTACTTAATTGACTCAGCCAAGTTGAAGGGAACACACAGACGATGCAGCGACAGGGATTCGTTAGGTTGAACAGCCCCAGAGCCCCAGGCCCACCCTCCCCCCTCTCCCCAAGTTACTTGGTGCTGTTTTAAAAAGTCTGGGTGTCACGAAGCAGTCTCTTCCCCCCAACAACAGAGTAAAAGCTCCACAGATTTCGCTGTCTACCTGGTGGTCAAGGTTACAGCAGCAACAGCTGATGCTGCTTCCAGAAAAACATGGGGTGGTGTGACAGGCAGGACTTTAGGATTGCTTCAGTCGCTTACGTGGGGGTCCCAGAAAGGGACACTGCGCAGAGGCCAAAGAGCGATACGCCTCAGCCACCAAATGGGGATGTGATACTACCATAGACTTCCAGCCCGATGTCTCCATGACGTCAGAAGCATGACTAGAAATGAGAGAGAATAAATCTGAAGTTATCAACTGGGGATAAAAAAGATTAACTAAACAGATTTTTTCCACGTGCCCAAGAAACTTTGACATTCTAGCATACTGTTTTAGGACCACGTTGGATGTATGTTAGGTATCTCTTGTGAAGATTGCCAGCTTTTGGCTCTGCTGGCACAATCACATGCTGGACAGTCCTTCAACTTAAGGATGCAAAGCTTAAACACAAAAGACCCAGGTGGAGGACAGCAGGAACACAGTGCTTATCTACCCTGACCACTCGGCACAGAAGTATTTTAAATTGGTATAGAAAGTACTGAGAAAAACTGTATTAACTGACAAATAGGACCAGGACCAAGGCCAGGTCGGATGGGACTTTGAGCGACCTGGTCTGGTGGAAGGTGTCCCTGCCCGTAGCATGGGGGTTGGAACTGGACGATCTATAAGGTCCCTTCCAACCCAAACCATTCTATGATTCTATGACTAAAAATGTTTCCAGACATCAAAAGTAGTTGGTAGCCATTTTACATCTGCTGAAAAGTCTGTTAAATTATGCGTTGCAAATAGTCCCTCAATATCAGGGACTACCGGACATTCTACTACTTAAAAGTTCTTGTGATCTTAGGAAGAGATCCAGAACAGCTGACAGAGACCGTCCTGCTGTACACTCTGAACAGGCCCAGCGGGACAAGACTAATCTGCCCTCAGGGCAATACCACTTCTGGGATGCCAGATAAATGAAGGATCACAATGGGAGAAGTAAAAAACCCAAAAACAATAGAGAAGAATCTCCCCTGTATGCAAAAGTTCACAAGTTGTGAACCCTACTGCTAATAAACAACACTTTCCTCTAGCTTTGTTGCATCCTGGAACAAAAGTAAACTCACTAGTTAATGAAGTCCACTGCTTGAGTTTTCAGTTGATCGGCACTATGTAGGTCAGCCAGAATGAGGATCTCAGCTGCATTTTCCACAGACAGGTTGCTGCACAGGGCATCCTCACACATCACCTTCAGACGTTCTAGAGCGTACTGCAAAATACAAGCCAAGTACAGTTACAAAGAAGAAAACACCTACTCAGGCCTGACGCGAAGCCTTACTCGTGCTCCTTCACTCGTCAGTAACAAACTACTCTATTATGCTGACCAGATCTCTCTGCTTTGCTATATGCATCTGAACTGTACTCAAAGAAGTAGTGACCAGCAAACAAAAGGAAAAAAAAAAAAAGAGAATCATGATGCGCCCACCCTGAGGAAAAGCAATGGAGAGGAAACATACCCACCATAACTCTCATCCCGGCCTTCTGGTGTTACAGGCTTACTGCTGCTGTGTTCATGCTTTGAAATGAGAATTTCAGGTCACCTGTAATACTTACTATCTCAGTTACTTCAAGGCACAGAACGCTAAAGCCAAATCTTTACTCTGTTACTGCGTGACAGCATTACTCAGGTTCAGTGGGAAGGCCTAGCTAACAGTGAATGCTCCATAGGTGTTCCAGTGATGTTTAGACAGCTTTCACTCAACTTCTTTGCCATTACTGACCTGCACGTTAAGATCAGCCTTGCTCAAGTACAAGCTACTAGTTTACTATATAAATATATATAAATAAAATACTATATAATACTAAAATGTTAAACAAATGCCCCTGATTTCTTGCGGCTATGCAGCTGGAAACGAAACATCACAGCATGTCTGTAACGCCCTGGCAAAAGCTCTGTTCTAACTTCACATTCTCAAGCTTAGAGTTTCTACCATGCAGATGTGCATTTGCCTCAACATTTTTTAGATCCACAAGGTTGGGCCATGTCAATGGTTTGAGAAATTCAAAGGATATGCTTAGAAGAAGAGTGTCGTCTAATAAGTTTCACACTCTACTTTCTGCAGCACTTTCAGTCAGTACTGAAACATGCAGACACAGCCAAGATTTTCAAAAGCATCACAGTGGTCTTAGGAAGACTTCAGACAGGTCATCACTCAGAAAACTCCAAGCCATTCGTTACCAAGAAATGAAACCCAAACCCCAAACCTCAGGCTTTTAGAATATCATAGCTGGGAACTGTGAGACTGAGATACTTTGGAAAATCTTGATGTGTGGAATCTGATTATGGGGTTTGCTTTGGGGCTCTCTGGATGAAAGAAACAATATTTCTAATGGTTCTGAATATTCTAGATCCCATGATTACATTTCACAGGGATTAGCAGAGTAGTCAATTCCAATGCAGTTCTTCTATGAGTAATAACATTAGCACTACATAAACTGTCCTAAAGATTAAACACAGTTAAGTCTCCGTCATGTTACGACTTCAAATTGAGTGACATTTCTAAAAAAAAAAAATCTTTAAGATTTTTTTTTTTTTTTAATCTGACAGATAACTGCATTTGAGAGTATCCTTCACATTGTGTGTGGCTTTTTTGGACAACTTAAAGATGACACGGCATACAAGTTCTTCAGTATGTGAAGCCACATTAGGAAAAGATATCGGATTTGTAAGGACTGCTCTGTCAACCTGACCAGAGAGCTGGTAACAAGCTCATTTGCATGAGGACAGGAGTGTTTGCCATGTAATAAGCACTATTACTATAAATTGATTTTATATTCTGATTGAGATTTTCATCCCAGTATGATTAAATTTAAATGAATAATTTTAGATTATAAAAACATTTTTTCACTTAAGACTCGGCAATAATAATTACTTTCATTGAGGCATGGCACTCACAACCAGGACAGTTTTCTCCCACCAGAACATCTGAGAAGGCAAATCAAATTTACTTGCTTAATCTGTATCAATAACTAAACCAGTTTCAAATGAGGGGCAAGCCATTAGTTTATATTATTGTCTGTCAGTAGCTTAAAATGCAGCAAACGAAGCTTAAAATTATTCCTTTTGTAAATTGAATATTGTCCTCCATGCATGTACAATTTTTATTTCGATTTTCACTACAAACAGCTCAGCTTCTAATTACATAGTTGGGCAAAAGTAGCCATTCTGGTCTCTCAGGTACCAAGACTTCCCCTTCCCCCCCTTTCCTAATTACACTTTAAAAAAAAAACACCCTACCTAATAGCAACACTTACCCAAGAGGCTGAAATAGTACCTCCTGGGTTGAGAGGACGTGCTTTGTTTTGGTTTTGGTCTAATTACATATTTTCCCCAAGAGACAGGAGGAACTCAGAAGAAGCTGTTTCAGTCTCTTGAGTAAATATTAGATGTTTTATGTGCTTTCATGGAAGATTTTTTTATTTCTGCTTTTAAAAGACACGCAATGAGTTTAAAAGGAAAAAACCTACATTAAAAGCCAGGAAACTCAAAGTTAAAGCCTACTCTGTCCTTAATGTACTGCTTCTTACTTACACTCGTCTCAGTTAAAGAAGGTACGTGAGCTCTCAAATCAATACTCTTTAAATATTAAATAAAATATGTGGCAATGATCATAACCAGGCCAAGCATCTCCTTGCATTATTTCCCATTTTAATTCTAGTTGCAGTGGCCTAATAATGGCATATGGAGCATTTCACCTCTAAAATCAGCATTTTTGATGAAGCCCAGGTCCGCAGTGACAGGGAATCTGATGGCCGTGTGGTGGTTGTGTGGAACAAGGTTACATGCATCCACATCTTAAAATCCACCACCCTAACTGGCACCCACAAGAGAATCCAAGGACTGAAGAAGCATGGAGACTGAACTACGCTCTCACCCCTAGAGGTGGTCCCTCCAGGTCAGAGTTGAGGCACATTGGCAGGGCAGTGTGGAGAATCTTGCACTGCTGCTACCCGTGCTGAACCTGTTCGATAGATAAATTCAGGACTTTAGTCTCCAGTGCTGTCAAACTGGCATCTTTCACCTGCACTAAGTTCACTTTTAAGAGAAAAAAAACAAAAAGGAAATAAAATTTTGGTTATATATTACGAATTTTCACTGGTTAATACGGCGTGCTGGCCAGCAAAGCACTCTCTTCCGTCCTTGGTGCTGCAAAGGGAAGGAGGCAGCGGCTGTCTGGCTGGCAAGGCCACAGCAGTGAGCCTGCTACCCGGGGACTACCAGCAGCCTTCCAGTCAGACCATCCCCGACACCTCCCTGGAAGGACCCTGCAAAACTGCAGATGGGTTAGGCAACAGGGCTTCCTCCAGTGCACCCCTTCTCTCCATAAACAGCAGGGACTGTCACTGCAAAAAGAAAATAAACAACAGGACCTTCCCGCTCTCGGCTATCCATCACTTTAGAGCATCTCTTGAAGCTGCTGATACCAGCCAGACCAGAAGGAGAAGCAGGCCCTGTTTGCCAAGACAGAACACTACTTTTGAGATTTGGTAATAAGCACACTAAGAAAATATCGCCAGGTCCACCTTGAAATTTTCTTCTCACCCCCAGCTCTTATTCTAGATTATGCTGAACAGAGATGTCCCCTGAAATTTTAAGAAAATGCTTAAAAATGAGCAATAGAGACAGAAATTCCTGATTGTTATATATTAAGATATGTATCTATAGAGCCATAGTTATCTTACATGTATCTATACTACACCCAGGCTTACCACAACCAATTGAAAGAAACTGAACAACAACGATCACACGAAAAGCTTAGTGCAGCAGTCTCTGAGGAACTCCGTGTAAAGCAAGGCACATGCCACTCCCGGTTCTCTGAACACCCATAAATCTCAACTGTACCTTGTCAGCAGCTGCCAGCAGGTCATCAGCCATTTTGTCAAGATTTGGTGCCTTCCCCGTGTAAATAAAGCACATCATTTCCTTAAAAACTTCAGGCTCCACATCATTGATTTCAACCCGATTCTGTATCAGAAAAATGAAGCTTATTAAGGTCCTGACAAGATGCTAAAGGCTTCCTTCTATCCAAGGTCTTTCAGTATTCAGAAATTTGCTACGGAAACAAACTATTTCGAATGTGTAATGCTTCCAGAAAAAAAAAAAAAAAGACGTGGAAAGAAAAATTCTAAGTTTTGTTTCACATTCTCTGCTTCTCCCTATCCCACCCCAGACTGTTTCCCCAAGAGTAACAAAGGTAACAATTGCCTCCTCCCTTCAGGACAGCTGAAGCAGAGACCTGTATCTAATGTGAGAAAAACAGTTAAAAGGTGACAATAGTCACAAACACTACCCAAGAAAGTTATCTGACCACTGATGCTAACTAAGAGTTGACCAGAGAGCTGTTCACCTAGCTGGAGAAGTTCTCCTTCCTTCCAGAACTTACCTTTTTACTCTCTTCCATCTCATGCTCAAACATGGCGCTGAAAACCGGGGAACGCGCTATGGCAATGAGGAAAATAAAACATAGTTAGAGATGCTCCTCTAGGCTTCATTAGATGCTAAGTGTAGCCTGTCAACAGCTCAACAACTGTCCTGCTACTTAATGCAGGAAAATCTCTCATACAGTAAGTCAGACAAATTCAGTACAACTGCTAAAGTATAGGTTGTGACATAATGGAATGTGGCCAATGTAGCCTCAGACTGGGTAAGGGAGAATTTCTCGCTTCCTTTCAACCAAGGCTGAAGAGTACATGGGTGGTAACGTAATTACGTTTCTTGACTTCTGGACATTCCTCTGGAAATGTGGTAACTTCTCCTTACAAATGCTTTAGGCATACATTATGGTACACTACAGCCACAAAAGAAACCTCCTACCATCCTCGTCACAGGAGGAGACAGGCAATTAAAAATAGAGTAGATATTTCTTCTCTCCCCGTTAACAGTTCACAAAACGGTCTTTTACTACAGTTCTGCAGTTAAAAGAGTTGCAAAAGCCTGCTTTAAATATGGAGTAACTCAGAAAAACCCACTTGCCATCATGCTGTTGTCTCCTATCCCACTAAGGCCCATCCAACTCAATACCGACCTGCTAGTATGGCTTTGTGAGCCTGGAACTCCTGGCCTGCAACGCACAGACAGCAGTCCGTGAAGCGCGAGTTCTCCCAGAGTCCTCCCAGCTCATCCGCCAAGCGGCACTCTGGTACCTTCACCATGTTCATAGTGTTCTGGCCGGAGATATTGACAGAGTCCTGTACCACGCTCACCTGGAGGGGAAAAGAAAGCAAAACACTCAAAACTCAAAAGCCCATACTGGAAAACTAATCTCCCTACAGGAATTTTTCATTTCTGGGGTGAAGGGAAATGCAAAGCAAAACCCACACCTCTCAAGTAGAACCACTGTATGATTAAAAATATCTACATTTTTAAAGCATCCTTTCTGCCCTGCCATGACGCTGTTTTCTGCTCCTCCAGTGTCTATCCCAAGTCCTAAATCACACCAGCGGATTTTCTTCTCAACCCCCTATTAACAGCACTTCTATGCAATTTAATCATAACTTCATTAGATGGTTTCCTAAGGAAGTGGAACCTTATTTTTCTGCTTTTACAGACACCATATCTGACCTAGTTTTTTCCTTCTATCAACACTCTGAAACCCTCCCCAATCAATAATGCAATACAGCAGTACAAATGAAAATGAAGTATACAGAGAGCTTCTATAACTGAGCACTGCATCCACACACGTATGCAAGCGCAGTGTCTGACCTCCCAAATGTCTCGTTGCTTCTGGTTCTAAATTTCTTAATGCTTCCATCACATCACAAAACAAAATTTAAAAACCCCTAAACAGTAGATTTAAAAAAGCAGCTTTACGTCAAGTAATTAGGAAGATTGGGGGAAGACAGATTCCTTATCACCTGCTCTAAAGCACACACGGTTAGGCAGGGACCACGCATAGCCACACTGGCTGATGAACAACCCACACAAAGGGAACCGTTAAGAGCCTATTCAGCCCCAAACCATTATTGTGAAACACGCAGTAAATCACACGCCTTCTACAGCAGACTCCAATTAGAAAAGATCAGAGTGACTAATACTACCCTGTTATAACAAAGAATAAAGGAAGAAGCTGACTGACAGGGAAGCATACGTGAGACTATTTCCTGGATTTGCTGTCAAGTCCAAGTTAAATTTCAGTCCTATTAATAACCAATGGCCAAAGAAGAACAACGGACAGCAAGGGAAGCTTCACAGTTATGTAAAAGAAGTAAAAGGAGAAATACGTCAGAAGCATCTTGTAAGGAAAAAAAACTGCTGACAGCACATACTCCAACTCTTGAGAAACCTCCAGTGGGTTTCTGACGGCAGCCACATCTTGTATCAACTATACAACACTCAATCCCAAACAAATACCAGATGCTGCCTGCCAAAGGACACTAATGATGAGCCAGAGCAAATGTGAGGAAGCTAATATTCTTCATCATTCATTTGACAGTTAAAAAATCTTTTTGCCTTGTGACATTTAGACCAGCAACACGGACTCAAAGATGGATGAAAACTCATCAGGCTCATTAAAAAGGAATTCTAAGATGTAGATCCCTTGCTGGAGTCCAGTACTGATTACAGACCAGCCAAAAAAGACTTGCGAATTGTGTCTCAAATCAACAAACAAATCCTCTTCATATATGGAAGAAAGTCGGTTACTGCCATGAAAATCTACTACGTGGCTTTCTACACAAGGAGTTTAGGACTGGTAGATTCCAAGAGGCGACCAGCCTTAGAGGTCACAATAGATAAGGTTCTGCTTAAGCTGTTTTCAACATCTTAGCAAGGGAACCAATGCTACCTAGCTCAGAAGAGAGCTATTACCATAACTCTGGGAACAGCCTTCTTTTTGGAGATTTACCAGAATTTTATTTACCTATGATGTTGGAATATAATTTAAACAGCAAACAGTAATGCAGTTGGGATACAAACAATCAACCCCACCTGCAAAACAGAGGCCGAAAAATCCCCAACCTGACAACTAAATGAGGTCAGATTTGAAATGAATGACACGGAACATCATTCTCTGTCTTAACAGCATGTTCAGCAAGACATTATTTGTGTTCAGCATCGGACATGAGTAGAGAGCAAAAGCCTTTTTTCCTTTTAACTTTAATAAAGCAATGTGAAGGTGCAGCAGAGACACTCAGCAACCTTCCGGTCTATGGAAAACTCCAACATATCCCCACATAACAAGCATCCAGACATCCAGTATTGCTAACTTCTTAGACAGCTCCTACATACAAAACATGTTCGCTGAAAGTCCAGATATGAGCAGCATCACTTGGCACCTGTGGCCAGCAGGGAAGCATTAGGAGAGCATACGGCACACGAGTTTATATCCTAAGAGACTCACAAGCTCAGGGAAGGGGAAAAAAAAAAAAAGAGCGGGTAAAAAAAACCCCAAACCAAGCTGTTGAAAGTTCTAGCCAAACTGTTTCAGACAGCAATACCTTCCCCCTCTGATATCACTAAGCTTGAGATTTCTTACATGCTAGACTGTAGCACAACCTGAAGGAGAAAAATCAAAGATATCAAGGCCAGGTGAAGCCAGCAGCAAGTTTTCTCTTCATCCAGAACAAACAAAAACACTGAGCTGAAGCTTTTGGAGGGATTAATTCAATAACGAGTGGACTGACTTGAATTAGTACTGGTTGCCAAGACTACTGGTGGATCTCCGGTTTATCTACATCACACCTCGCGAATTCCCTTCTCAGATATTCAAGTTTCACTCCACAAATGTAAGTTTTCTGCCTCTTTATTATGAGCCAAAGAGTAATTGCCAGACTTACAGAGGCATCACCCAAGACATTGTCCTCTTCTCCCCTCACATTGCTACAAGCGTGAAAGGAAGGGCTCCCTCCATGCCAGTAATAATTCAAGCTACTGATTGAATACACATCCTTTAGGAGATGTTTGTTAATTTAAATATGTGCTGGTTTAGGATGGCCAAACAAACAAACAAACAAAAAGCTGTCAAACAACTTTGATTGAAACATTTCTTTCACTCCTGCAAGAAAACACAGCAAAAGAAAAGACTCCTGTAAAAACCACTGCAGGAGATCCAAAGAGAGAACAGCTTGTTCTACCTGTCTCTTCTGGCAAAAATCACAGCTACAGGAGGTACTTTTCAGTTAAAAAGACAATGGAAGTAAGACAGCAGAAGCTCTGAAAACACTAAATTAGACAGTTTGAATTTGCTCATTAAGGTTTCTAAAGTTAAATACCTAGTTTTAGAAGTAACTGTCTGCATCTTTGTCTGAAATCACTACTAGTGAAATAACAATTTTGTAAGCAGCTGTAGAAAAATACAAACACAATGAATAGAAAGTTGTGGTTACTATAATATTCATTTTTCTTAAATTTTTCTTAAATTTTTCTTGGCTGTACAGACACACTTAGGAAAATAAAGAACACTTCTTTATTCAGTAGGCAAGTAACAGGCGGTCCAGTTTCCACTACAGAGCTAGTGTTGGTTATTATCCCAAGTGAATTTCAAATTAAGGAGTACAAACAGATGGATGATAATAGTAAACCAGAAGTGAAAATGATAATCAAACATACTTATTTCCTACCATCATCACAGGTAAAAGACAGATATAAAGTAACAAAAAATAAATGGAAGTGAAATGTGATGAATCACACACAGAAAAAGCCACCAGCCACTCAGGTGCATGCACAAATAAAATCTAAGTGCCATATAAACATCCAGTATTTCTCCTGACACCTCTGACTCCTTAAAAGCAATGACGAAAAATAAGGTCATATCTACCTTGCGCTAATGGAACTGCTATTCTTCCACCTGCAGAGGAAGACTTACCTCACAGAAGAGAGTGAGTTTGTCATCTGGAAGAAGTCCGTTGGCCTCATCCAAAAGAAAGTCTCTTCTAATAAATTTTTTGAAACCCCAGTCCTTGCCTTGTACAAATCGATATGCTCGCTGGCTCTCTGAAAGAAAGATATGGTGCTTCAAACACCAGCTGAGTGACTCACCTGATCGAACAGCAAAAGACAAACAACTGACCCCATCAGACAGAAAGAGTTTTTACACACCCATTGCCTTCGTTTCTTCTCCTTTGGCATTCAGGATGGAGAATTTGAACTTTGCTCGAACTTCACTTTTCGGACAGCTCACCAGCAACAGATAGAGGGACAGATAATCTTTACTTTCTTCATCCAAGCCTTTAGGGTTCACACGTAAACACCTGTAGAAGCAGGTATCTGAATGAGATGTCAGCAGCAGACTTTGGCAGGTCATTCACAGCTTTCAAAGAAAGGGCACTGTAGAATTTTCACAATAAAGTGCAGCAAACAAGTTCTGTTTAACAGCCACTGAACCACAAGGAAATAATAGATAGGTAAATAGAGTGGAACTGTGTTACAGTCAGCCTCATGCTACATCTCCAAGGCAGATAATAATATACAGTCAGTAACTATGGGCAAACCATTTAAAAAAACCACACGGGAAAAGAGGAGGGGGGTATGGTTTAAATTGCCGAAAACCACCTTGGATGTCAACTTTCACAAAAGGAAAGCGAAAGAAATAGTACAATGGAGGCAATGGACTTGAGGAAGTGCAACAAATCCAGAGAAATGGTAGGTAAAATTCCACAGGCAGGAACTGAAAGGAAAAATGGATTTCTGGAAAGCTGTAGTTTCTCAAAAACATAATACTAGGGCAAACAGAGAAAACTCCTGTGTGAAGAAAAGGTAGTAAGTGCAGGAAGAGGCTAACTCGCAAGCACTTCCATGACCTGAAACCTGACACAGAATCTAACAAGAAGCAAAAACTAGGCCAAATGACTTACCGCTCAAACAGACAAGGACAAAAAATCAGAAAGATCTAGACATTACAATGAGACCTGACTAGCAAAGGTTATAAAGGTAAGTAATAACAAAAAGCAATCTAAGGAAAGCACAGGTCTGCCACCCAAAGGAAGGGAACACAAATTGTATCACACACACTAAATCTTTTAGTGGCTAATTTGCCGCAATCTGTACTAAAGAGGTTTAAAGAAAATTGCTAAAAAACACTTAACAGCTGCAACAAGGGATAAAGAACCAGGCATCCCTGGATCTACTAGGTCAGACAAGACTCGCAGCAGACACACATTCTGATCAAAGTCCACCCTGAGCTACTGGAAATTATTTGAGAACTCAGGGAAGGTAAGAAAGGTTTGAAAGGAAAGGAGAAGGGTAAAAACAATGCCATCTTGAAGAAGCAGAAACTCCTGGGCAGAAGGAGTTGCAGAACTCCCAAGACATGATCGAAGAAAGAATGTTAAGTCTCCAAATTCACAAAAAGCTGCCATAAAGGTAACACAGTAGCAACAGTCTTAAATTGCAGGATTTAGAGTATAGGCAAAAATTATTTTTAACAACATGGAGTATTAGGGACTGAAACTGGAGGCTGAAACAGAGCTTGAATACACTGACTGTGGACTCTCACTGGCTTATAAGAAGTTGTTAAGATAAACATCAGTCAAAAAAACCCAACTAAAGACATTACTAATCCTCCATGGCACATCTCGTTTCAAGGCAGGATGTAGTCTCTCTTACAGCTACGGATTCTAGAACTTCTGATGTTTTCCATTATCAGCGGAACACTGCAAACTGCCAGACCCTCACATTTATTTTGTGTGCCCAAACACTATGCTGAAGCAACAGTATTTTCTCCCTGTGCATATGTTGTACACCCAAGTAAGCAAGAACCCATGTGCAGTACCAGGTTTTTTTTACACATTTCCTCAGTTACAGAAGCCCAGATTCTTTCACACAGTTGTACAAACAGGGTGAATCTCTCTGCTTTCTTTCTTACCATTTGAGTTTATCATTGGCTCCAGATGAAAAGGTTGAGCTTTTGATGACCTCACCCATTTCTTCTCGGCAGAAGCTAAAGTTGTTTATGGTCCACATATAGGAAAACTTCACCACCTTGATCTTAAAATAGAAGGTAATAGGCAGTTTAGGGTCATGTTCATCCTCACGATCCATCTTAAAGGCAAAAACTGAAAACCTGGAAGTTGACAAATAACCTCCAACCACAAGACAACAGAGTCTGGAAATGGCTGGCAGTGGCAGCTGGACCACTCCAACTTCTCCAACTGCCTCCTCCAAAGTCCCAACAAGGGCAGAGGGTAACATTCTACTGTTGCCGTGGTGAACGCTCACTGTTGGCAAGCAGGACATCACCTGAAAATCCAGACCTTAAACTTGTTTTGAATAGATTTCTTACCACAGGTTCTAGTTGTGTAAAGAATATCTCAGCACAGAGTGGACTAACCTGAGTGTAGCACCAGCTCTCTGCTACAGGTCCACTCGACATTTCTGCCGGAGGAGGAGGACTCGGCACCCTTGACATCGCCAGTTTGAAGATTAACAGAATTTCACAACTCCGTAGAAGAAATTTATACTTGATCTTCACCCTGTTTGTCCCCAAAGAGAGAAAAAAAACAAAACTAAGAACAAAGAAAAAAAACCTTCAGGAGTGCTGTTAAACCTCATGGGACACAAGTTAAAGCCATCACGCTTTCTCCCCCCTAGCACCTTCAAAATACGATGTTACTTTTACACTTTTTAAAGTGTTACCATGTGTTTTCTGAAGGGGGGATACACCACCTCCACTCATTCTTTCAATATGCAGCTCCTTGTAGGAATAAGCCTAGCACATAATTTCCTTTAAGAAGTCCAACATTCGGATAGAAGACTCACCACTTAACTTGGGATTTACTACTTTACCCTGAGGCCACCATTTCAACTCACTGCTTACTCCCTGTTCTCATTCTGAGTGTCTCAGGACTATCAGAGAACAGATTGGACAAATGGAGTTCTTAATCTGAAAAAGCTGCAAGTAGCAACATGCAACCCAAACTCAACAGCAAAGCAAAATCCTAGGTTCAGAGCGACTCGGTAACATCAACAGAATAATTTCCTATAGCTTAAACCTTCTCCTGAAGCCTTACTATTAGGCAAGGTGTTGGTAATGATTTCTCTACCTCAAACTGAATCCCTTTGGCCAGAGGGAAATTCTCATTGCCTTTTTATGCTAGTGAAGTTCCCAACTTGTATGGGCCAAGTCAAGTTCTCATTTGCAGAGAACATACGGGGTTAAACCCACTGCCACACACCTGCATGAATACACAGGCACAACTGATAAGACAGACACCTAGTTACAACAAGGGAGATGTTAAAACAAAATAGAATAATCAACCCATCTCTGACTTCCGAGTCCTGATCGCTAAGGCAGATACACAAAATGTCTTCAAAGCTGAGCTCGGAAACTAGGATTCATAACTTTGGCAGATATAAAAGCATCACATGCCTTACAGTTTAGCCTTCTGCTAAACACTTTCTGTTTCCCAGGTGGTATTTATCTGCCTTCCTCTTACTGCACAGGACAGCCACTGAACCACATGAACTCCACTGCTGCTAATTTTGAACCCGAAAGGATTAAAAAAAGGGGAATAAAAGACATTAAATTGTTACCTTGCTATATGAATTGCTTTAAATACAAAGGCTGATACTGAGGTTTGTTGGGGGAGAAAGTTAAAGCACAGGTTCACAATCTCGAGGAAGGCCGAGTCATTAGTTGTTGAAAGGAAATGGTGGAAAGCACAGAGAATACACACCTAAAAATCCCACACCTCAAACCAACAGCAGAATGTTCACAAAAAGCACACCAGCATAATTCCCCCCAAACTGCTATCAACATCATTTGGAGTCTTTAAGCGCAGTTGCAGGACAGGTCTGGGTTTGAGCACAGGCTCCAGCTGCAGACCAGACCTCTCCGGAGCAAGGCTCACGTCACCCTCCACTCCAGCTCACGGCTGCGTGCTCGGGCTTCGAGTGCCATGCACCTTCAGGAAGTACCTGGAAGTACTGCTACACGGGCATTATCTAACCGTAAAATAAGAGTGGGGATTTTTTCAGGTTTAATTTCCTTTAAAAAAGCACAAGTGAGCCCAGGCAAATACTGAAAAGGAGATACCCGCTATCAGGAGCTAAGAAATAAGCATTTAACCCTGCAGAGATGCACATTTAACTGGATGGAAATTTATTTCCTGGAGCAAAGCTTTGGGCAAGCAACCAACTCCGTAAGACCTGAACTGCAGACAGCTAGCACTAATGTAAAACCCAGTGCTCTCAGATCAAACTGCTTTACAAACTTCTTGCATTTGCAGTTTGTGCTGTGCATGCGGAATGAGGGAAAAAAAATGTTTTAAAACGTGAATGTTGACGCCCCTTTCTTTTTAAAATGTTCATTTTTAAATTCAACATTTTAAAAAGATAGGGACATGAACACGCACTTTTGTTACATGCTGCAGGTTTTACTACATTAAACTTAAAATTACCACAATTCCTCCAAAGAAATTCAATTATACCACTCTGTGTCATTCAAATGAAGCCAAAATTAGCAGACACTACGTTTGGATACTTAGCAAACTGCCCTTCCATAGACAACATTCAGCCTTGCCTCCCCCCCTCTGGGGGACAGATAAAACCTGAAATTCCAGCACAAGCAGCAAGAAACACCTCCTCCTCTCCAGGGCTGGGGGAAAGATGCCTTCTTCCTGGGTTTAGTCTATGGGCAGCAGAGACCCAAGCTTCTCCCTTCCCCTCGGGGTGCACAGAAGCACCGCTCAGCTCCACCGTTACATTATTCTGTTCACAGCTATTTTTAATCTACATTATTCTACAGATCTGTTTCATAGCACAGGCACAACCCACAGGGACACAAACTCCTGAGAGGACAACAAGCAGCCAGGGAAAGATGAAGTTTCTTAAGCTCACCTCCTCACCGCCGGCAACCTGTCTGCACACTGAGCAACAAGATGCAAAGCCTAATGAAAAGGTTTGACCACAAGAAAGCACATGGAATAAATAAAACACAAGAGTGGGATGAGAAATTTGATTTTGTTCTTGTTGTTAAAATCGTAGTTAGTTTCAGTGACTTTAGTTTTTAACTAACATCTTTTTACTCAAACTACTTGTAACACGAAAATATTCCAGTCTCTTTAAAAATAATTCCTTATGCAGAGTGAGAAATAATGCAGCTTTTATTTAATAAGCATTAGAGGGATGAAGAAAGACAGAAATAATTTAGCTTAAAATCACATTCGAATTCTCTGAAACAACGACACCATGGCCCTCCACCCATCTCCCCCTACACCTGGCCCAAACAGCTAAACCTCTAGCCACAACCACCTACTTGGTCTTCCTCCTAACAGGGGTTCTGGGCCCAGTCCATCACTGCGAGGCACCCTGGAGCTCTGTGTGAAGAGCTGCCGGGCAGCCAGCAGCAGTGTCCACCAGGATCAGCCCGGTGACTCTCTGAGGCCACAATGCTGTTCTCCTCACCTGGCTTCAGAATGATTACAAGAAATACAGAATCACAGAATGTTTGGGGTTGGAAGGGACCTCTGTGGGTCATCTAGTCCAACCCTCCTGCCGAAGCAGGGTCACCCAGAGCAGGCTGCACAGAACCTTGTCCAGGCGGGTCTTGAATATCTCCAGAGAAGGAGACTCCACAACCTCCCTGAGCAGCCTGTTTCAGGGCTCCGTCACCCTCAGAGGGAAGAAGTTCTTCCTCATGTTCAGACAGAACTTCCTGTGCTTCAGTTTGTGCCCATTGCCTCTTGTCCTGTTGCTGGGCACTACTGAAAAGAGCTTGGCCCCATCCTCCTGACACCCACCCTTGAGAAATTTGTAAGTATATATTAGGTCCCCTCACAGCCTTCTCTTCTGCAGGCTGAACAAGCCCAGCTCCCTCAGCCTCTCCTCATAGGAGAGATGTTCCAGTCCCCTCAACACATCCAGAACAGTTCAGATCAGGAACCAATTTCCACATAATTACCAACAATAAGCAGTTTTCTTTAAGACGACTTCTACTTCCAGGTAAACCAAAGCAATTACGTATCTCTACACATACATTAGAGAAGTGGTTTAACATGGAAAGTTAAAACCAGGGGGTCCTTCTTGAAGACAGACTTGTAAATTTAGTGGTAACACCTCTCTTTATGGCTTGAAAATGAGGGATTAATGAGAAGGAAAAAGAGGAGACAACAACAACTTTTTATGTTACAAAGGCACGCTCATCAGGCCTGTTGGAACACACTGAGAAGCTGAAGGGTTTCCTGGATGGAGGACAGAAGCTAATCCGCAATTCCTGCACCTTTCACTGGTCTCCAAGGTGAAAGCTGCAGGAGACTGTAGCTATCAATCATAAAATTGGGGAAGGAAATAGACAATAATGTGATGCAAAAATTGAAACTTTAACAGCTACTTTCTGCATTTCAACAGGCTTTTAAGATGTACCTAAATATTACCTCCGTATTACATACACAGAAAGTTTTAGAAAGCTTCTGCGGTCTGAAGGCAAGATAAATGTATGAGCTTGAGATACACAGGACTATTTAATTTCCTCTGAGTAACTGTCACTTTTATGCCTCACATCCTTTCCTCCCAGATGGCTTGGATAGGCAGGTGGTAATAAAAGTTATGACAACGTGCTAATAGAATTGCTGCATGCCAGCGCGTCATTCGTTATGCTTTTAAAATGGCCCAAGGGGGACAAAGGTTCTAGATTTTAACGATTTTCTAGTATTTGGAAAACACTTTCAGTCTAGTATGTCAAAGCTTTCTACAGATGCTTTGTGAGGCAGTTAAATACCGTTAAAAAAAGATGTTAAACTCCAACATGCCCCCAGCTCAACACGGCAATCAACCGTCAAAGACTTGTCATCAAATGACATCATTGGTACTTCTACTGCTGTAGCCAGTCATCATGGGAATAAACAGGTAATATCCATCACTGTCCTTTGCAAAAATTACCAGTAAGGAAAAACTTGCCACTTGCCTTGCTTAGCAAGCACACGAACGGAGGAAGCACATGAAAGGTTACTGAAATGTATCTTTAGAAGTGTGCCTTAAAAACCGCCATGAGCTGTTCCAGCTCCAAATGCTGAATCGCTCTTCTGGCATGGAGCAATATTAAACGCGTTTTAAAACGAACCGCAGCTGACTCAAGGAAAAGTTAAGTTTCTGATGTCAGCAGGGCACCCCCAGTGTTTATTTGCCCATGAACACTTAATACTTCACCAGTTCACACTTCTTCACTAACAGTGCTGGCACCTCTGAACTAGGAGCACTGCAGGCAGAGGTTTTAGGAAAACGTTTTGTAAATAGTTTGGGTATCAGAATTCTTTCTGGCCAGGAGAAGCAGAGACAAACTTGAACATGCAGGCATAAATATCAAGTCACAGGAAACAAAATACAAAATATTATCTTATGGACCCATGCGAGCCCATGTACAGTCTGCAAGTCTCTTACTTCCTTGGATATAAATAACAAACAACACTTGTC